ATTCATAATCATTCATAATCACATCCATCATCCACCCATAGCAAAAATAATTAAAAGACCCACTTTTGCCTTATGGTTAAAGGCAAGCCACAATCCGAATTTAATAATACAATTTAAACAATAAAAATTAATCCTAAAATATCAAAATCATATTAAATTAACTTGTTTGATTTGATTAGAACACCATCTGCCCATTATTGGTCATTTCTTGAATTAAAATTAAACAAAATAAAAAAAAGTGTTATGGAACCCTAGAACAGATGCGTCACGCAGCTGTTCTATGAAGAACTGTTGCATAGAACAGCTGCGTGACGGAACTCCTAGTTGCGTGATGCATCTGTTCGTGACCTTATCCAAATTTCCAATTTCATTAACTACTTATTTAAAACATAATATTAAATAAAAACATAAAAAACGAAATGAAAATTACTCGCACGAACAGTTCCGTCACGCAGGCGGTCCAACTTCGCCGAACAGTTTCCAGTTCACGCAGGCGGTCCAGGTAAAGTATATTGTTTTTGGACATTGAACAGTTGCATCACGCAGCTGCTCTGGTCCGTAACTACCTTTAACTACCTTTCAAACTACTCTTTTTACGTGTTCTTTTTATTAACAGATGTTTAATATAACTCAGAAATACTCAATAACAGGCAGAATGTTACTTAATTAACACCAAACTAACCAAACACTAAGGAAACAATATATTTCACAAATAAACAATTAAAAATGAAAAGCAAGGTTTAGATGGTTACCTAACCCTCAGATTCGAGGATTGCATACGGTTTAGATGATTTAGGAATGTAACTCCACGATCCCAGAAGTGCTTGTTAACAAATTTTAACAATAAAAACTGTCTTTTCTTTCCCTTTCTCTCCTTTTCTCTTTTTATGACTTTTGGTTTTTTAAGTTTCAATCTATATCTCTAATGGCCTGATCTTCCTCAAGGTAACTCACTGGAGTTCTTGGGGAAAACCCTATTGGGGAAAACCCTAGCCGCACTACGCTCTTAAGATTTCTCTAAGTCCAAATATCCAAAGTCTAGAGAAAAGTCCCGTTTAAAACACAAAAAAGTTGTATTTATATGGGTAGGGCAACAGAACAGAGCTGCATCACGCAACTAACAGCTGCGTGACGGACCTGCGAGCTGCGTGCGCAGCTTACTTTTCGTACAGTTTCCGCGTATCCATAGAAATAGTGTAGACCGTTACACGAGCTTGTCCAAGTGATGTCATCCTGGTTAGAGTTGCGTGACGCAACTACTAGTGCCGTCATGCAACTTATAGCTGCGTGACGCAACCCTATGCGTGACGTAACCCTAACGCAGGTCAGACTCCTTGAATCCGGTTTAATTTGAACCGGTTTAAATCAAATTTTGGTTTAAAAACACTTCTGGTTGACCCTGATTCCCTATTCCGCATCCTTATATCATCATTGGGTTAGGAGGGGGCATAAAAACACGCGTCAACAGGGACTTCCTTTCAGAGGGCAGTCTGTTGTATTTGATGATGAGTTGAGGACCCTGGACCGACGAGGCCTGCGTGAGAGTCTTCAAGCTGTGATAAGCATGGAGCTTACCATTTTTGACAAGAAGGTGCAGTATGAGAGCATTATTTCGCACTACCAGGCCATGCCCGAAGAGGGCATAGCTGAGCAAGATGTTGATGTGGTGGCATAGGCTTTCTTTTTCTACCTACTGTCGTGACCTTATTTACTAATCATGGTAACGACGCAGATTTGGTAATTTTACCACCGCTGCAGGATATGGACATGACTAGGCAATTTAACTGGGGTGCCGCTACCTTGTCCTACCTTGTCCTATCTTTATTATAGCATGGCCTTGTGCATCTGCGGAGCACACCTGAAGGTCGGCCATCGGCGAGCCATTGAGGTATAAAATCACATCTTTTGATTTTTCTCCTTCTTTCATGCCTTTTAATGCTTTCTACATTACTTATTTTTGCATTATTTGTGTAACAGATCTTGGCTTGTGAGCATCATGTCCTTCTAATGCTGAGGTTACATGGTTTCGATGCTGATACTAGCGTGACATCTCTCCCTCGAGGCCGGGCATGGAAGTTTAGCTGAAAGTATGCATGCACCACTTCAGAGATCGCAGTGTTCCGGCAACTCTTAAACGGCTTGACCTAGGACCGAGTAAGTGTGCCACCTCACATTATCTTTTTTCCTTTTTCTCCCTTTTCTTTTCTTCTCATTTTTCTTTGTCTCTTTTTTTTTTTTTTATTTACTTTTGCTTTTTGCAAATAGTGAAGTTCTCGTGGGGTGATGTGGCTAACTACCCTAATTTCGTTCAGGCTGCCATCGTGCACCAGCAAAGGTGGCTTCTCCTTCCCGGTATGTTTTATGACATGTACTACCTTGGCGATAGGGTGTACGAGTGGGAATTAGGCCAAGACTAGAGGAGAGTGCCTCACGACGTGCCATATTTTATGCTATCCACCAGGTCTATCCAATTGGAGCAGGACATTGCAGCTGCTCAGAGGGGGTCAGCCGCCACGGACCTATCACGCCCGACTCTAATCACCAGAGGAATTGTCTGCTTTGGATCAAGCTGAATCCATCCCATACTGGATTAGCAGGATTTGCACGGTTTTGTCCCGCAGGTGAAATGGGAAACTTCCTAAGATGTCACCCATCATAGGATTTCTGTTAAGCGAGCACATTTAACCCTGGAGTTCTTATAACTCTCCATCCATTCCACCAAAAGGTGCCTCTAATGATTCATTTAACCCTGGAGTTTCTTAATAAGCTCTCCATCCATTTTCCAACGCAAAAGGTGCCTCTAATGATAGTTTCCGCCCCTTTTGATATATGATTCGATTCAATTCCTATGTCCGCGCGTTCCACTACCCCATAGCTAGCCTAACCATCCTAGAAGCTCCGCCACGACCTTCACTCTCTCTACCCCTGCCCTCTTAGGATCGCTTTGCCAGGTCAGGGAATGTCACAGGCCCACCGGCTTCCGTGTGGTTCATCCTTCGCGAACCATACAAATCTACTGGAGGGGTCCAAGCACTGATACAACTGTGCACGCCCGACTTCTAATCACCAGAGGAATTGTCCACTTTGATTAGCCGAATCCATCCCATACTGGATTAGCAGGATCCGCAAGGTTTTGTCCCGCAGGTGAAATGGAAACTTACAGGACCAACTGTCACGCCCGACTCTAATCACCAGAGGAATTGTCCACTTTGGATTAAGCCGAATCCATCCCATACTGGATTAGCAGGATCCGCACGGTTTTGTCCCGCAGGTGAAATGGGAAACTTCACAGGAGGTCACCAATCCTAGGATTTCTGTTAAGCGAGTACGCTTAACCTTGGAGTTCTTACAACTCTCCAGCCATTCTACCAAAAGGCGCCTCTAATAATTAGTTTCCCCCTTTTCGATTTATTCCTATGCCCTGCATTTCACTACCCATAGCTAGCTTGCCACCCTAGAAGCTCACTAGGACCTTAACTCTACCCGCCTTTTAGGATCGCTTTGCCAAGTCAGGATGTCACAGGACCATTTGGCTGCGTTTATACCAGGCACCTATGCTATCTTTGCACGAACCCAACTCTTAGTCCATCTTCCTCCTCACGCTGAGTATGATCCATTTGTAGAGGCGGAGGAGTTAGATAGGGGCTAAGAGATGTCTCAGCACATGTGAACTTACCCACTCTTGTTACTTTGTATTCGACTTTGGCCTAGTATCTATTTTTCTTTTATTCATTGGATGTGTTTTATTCTCAGAGAAAAAGCAGCGCGGCAAGCGCGTGAGAGGAAGCTCTGACTCTAGGGTTCTGGATACGACTGTCATAGTTAGCAAGCCGGAGTATGGACCGGGTGCATCCATCTCTTTTATCTTGGACCACACAGGTCAACTTGCTCAAGGCATGCTGGAGACACATCTGGTGTGTCTATACCGGATGTCTCCTCCTGGCTGCACCCTTGTGAGTGATCTTTACTCTTTTATTCTGCTCATTGCTTTTCATTATCCTGTTTTCTTATTGTCTGCCTCTATTCCACTCTGTAGGTTTCCATTGCTAACTATAATAGGGTGAGCCAACTGTACGAGGCAGCACGTCTCAAGCTTGGTGTGGCGAGGCTCTTCGACAAGCATGTCTCTATAAGTATAAACAGCCTCAAGAGGAAATGTGCAATGCATATGCCATGTATATGTGTAATGCAACTACTATTATCTATTAATGTGTGCAAAGAGCTAGCATGGCGCCTCTAGCAAGTTGAGGTCAGGGAGCTCAGTAGGTCTGGTCTAATTGAATATTTGTAATACTTGATTTTATTATTAATGAATTATATTTCTCCAAAAAATAATAATAAAGAGAATGAAAATTATCTAAAATCATTCTAAGTATAAAAAATAAAAAATCTATAAAATTAATTATATAATAAGTAAAGTTAATTCCAAATAACTATAAAATATTATATACTAATAACTAAAATTAAAATTAGATAAATAAAAAATGTTCAAAAAAAAATAAAAATTTAAATAATTTCAAACAATAGAGCTCCACATTGGATTAGAAAACATCTCATTTGCAAGTTTGAAGACCAAAATTTTACATCCTGGAAAATCAAGTCTGGCTTTGAGACCTAAACCAGTTGAGCCAAAATCAGTATGAAATACGTCAATTATCGACATTGATTTGAAAATAACTTTTTCTCCGGGTATAATTCACCCACAGACTCAACATCAATGAAAATTAGACACCGAGAGCTTTGTAACAATAAGCTTTGTAATGACACTTTACGGGTCGAAGTCGGAGGTCAAATGGCCTTAAACCGGCCAAATCAGTGAAAATCAATCCAATCAAATCAGACCAGCAGGAAAACCGAGCTGCGACCAGCAGGAAAACCGAGCTGCCCACCCGGGTTAAGGCGGTTGACCGCCCAGTGTTGAGTTTGTGGTTTAGTTTGTTTTAATTATGAAAAAAATAATCATTACAAATTTATGAAAGGTCAAGGCAAGTAGAAGAAGAGGAAACGAAAAATGACGGTAAATGTATTTATTTGTGTAACCAGCTCCACTAATTGTTGAATACATGAAAACTATATGGTGGGTGCTTCCATGGCAATTCCTGCACTGTTTAAAAGCACCTGAACTTTCAGAACGCCCTATAAAAATTACAGCATCATTTTATCAAATTCCAACATGTGATGTAAACTAGACATTGAAAATAAGGGATAAAAAAAAAGAGCAAAAAGAAAAATTATATGCACAAATGTGTAAATATCAATTTTGGACAAAATGAGCTTCCGTGAAGATAACAGATCATCTGGGACCAGACAATTCATCTGGAGGGATGTGGGACGTGGAATCGACAATCCAATTTGTGTTGGGATGGTGAGCGTGGTTGAATTCTTGCCGGAACATTTCCTCTTTCTGCCACTCCTCCCATCTTTCTGCCAATCCATCACCTTCCAGCATTCTCACCACCTCTGACATCTTGGGTCTTTCCATTGGGGAGCTTTGCGTGCACAATAAGGCCACTTGGATCAACTGCTCCACTTCATCATTCACATAATTACCCTGCAGATCCGCATCTACCAATGTTTCCAACCTCTTATCTTTTAGAAGCCCTTTCACCTGAAATTCGTACGTGATGTTAAAGAGTTAGGAATCATGCAACATTTGGAAATCTGGATGGTAGCCAAATTATAAATATACCAAATTAAGAAAAGACAGACGACCTAGTTATTAAACAAATGCCAACAAATAGCCCTTAAAAGCTTGATGATGCATGAAAGATGAGGCACCTAGCACCAATACAAAAATGGCATCAACAATAAGTAGCCTAGTATAGGTGCTCAAGTAAGTTAAGACTGGCGTAGAGGCACCAGGCAACACCCTCATGCATGGGCCAGAACAGGCAATACTACAAGGCAACAATTGACTCTGCATGTGGACCAACCAGTTGCCAACAATTGGGAGATTAAAGGCTAAGCAGTTGACAACAGTTGGTTGAAGAAACCGTTTTAGCCTCCGCCCACTACCAGTCAGTTAGCATGCTCAGTTATGTGATTCTATGCTTTGTGTTAGCAGCAAGATTCAATGTAGAAATCCATGGGTCATTCCCTGTTGTTTCTAAGGAAAAACCAAAAGGGGTTGGGAAGTTACTTCCCACATGATTTGAGTCAGCTCCTATTATTGCTATTCTTATATTCTCTAAAAAGCCAAAAGTACACCAAGAGAAAGCACGTTCCCTAAAGAATTTACAACAATAATTGCTCTCCCATTTCCAGCAACCTGAATCCTCAATTATCATGAGACGGCATCCTAAACATTATTAAAGGAAATCCACCAGCTACAGAGCTGCCAAGAGAAGATCCAGCTATTCAGTAATAAAGTTTAACAAAGAATATGGACGGAAGCTTAACTAATAGCCTTTTGGTCAAAAAATAAATTTTCGCATCATGGAAATGTTTCATCAGCTGGAAAATCCCCCCCCCCCCCCCAACTAATAGCCTTTGGTCAAAATATAATTTTCGCAAATCATTGGAAAGTGTTTCATGCAGCTGGAAAAATCCCCCCCCCCCCCTTTCTCAATCTAACCCCCCCCCCCCCTTCTCAATCTAACTCATTTCTATTGCATCCCTTTGTCAAACATGGAAACATCAGCAAAGTGCCATCACCTTTATAATCTTGTGCATCCTATTTTTGGACGTCATGTTCCTATTTATTTATTTGGAGAACTAAACAAAACTAAGGATAACGGTGATGGTAACACAAAAACACAAAAGGAAAAGACAGTGATGCATACCCAATCAAGTAACATGACGTCATCATCATTTGCCAGTCGAGCAAGATCAAAAGCCCTCTGTCCAGTTATCAATTCAAGAAGCATGACACCATACCCAAAAACATCAGTTTTCTCTGAAGACTTCCCAGTTGATAGGTACTCAGGGGCTATATGCCCAATTGTGCCACGCACTGCAGTAGTTACATGAGTATCTTTGTAGTCCATGAGCTTGGCCAATCCAAAGTCTCCAACAACCGCTTCAAATTCTTCATCCAACAATATATTTGCAGCTTTCACATCACGGTGAATAATCTTAGGATCGCAATGATCATGTAAATATGCCAGTCCCCTTGCAGACCCCAATGCAATTCGCTTCCGTATTGACCAGTTAAGTGGGGACTGATCTGCAGGACGCTCTACATAACAACACATGAATAAGTTATGAGCAATAATTTGCATAGAAGTGCAAATTTCCGTCCATTCAAAGCAGCACGGAAATGGAAACAGGGTAATGACATTCTTCAAAGATACAAGAAATGGAAACACGGGCAAAATGAGCAAGTATAAAAAAAATATATTGGGGTATTTTTGTAAATACCAAAATTTCACACAAGTATAAATGAAGTATAAGCATTCTAAAGAAAAGTATTTTTTCAAACAAATATTGTTACACATTATTATTTTTCTATCAAATTAATAAACTTCCAAATTCATTATCAACATTCTAAAAGAACAAAAATTATCAAATTGAAAAATTGAAACAAAAGACAACATAAAGCCTAAAGGAATAAAAAAGAGAGCTGCACGGAATGATATAGTAGAAATCACGCATGCGTTGAAACAAACGAGAGACAGAAAGACGAAAAGCAAAGAGACATCAAAAACCAGGAATGAGATAGAACCAGGCAGAGGCGCTGCCCCCACCTGCAACAGGATTTCGAGAGAGAGACCTGTTCTGGCGCTTTAGCTGGTTGTCAATGATACTGAAAGTTGATCGCAGGGAGCATAACAGGCATTTTCTTTTTTTTTTTTTTTTTTTTTTTTTTTTTTTTTTTTTTTTCCATTTTTCCTTTTTTTTTTTTTTTTTTTTTCTTTTTTTTTTTTTTTTTTTTTTTTCTTTTTTTTTTTGTTCTTTTTTTTCTCCAAATGCTGATCACAACAAACGGTTCATTGTTTAATTTCAGATGGATCATTTATTTATTCATTGAACGACACAACACACCTCTAAATGGGAAACCTAAAAGTTTAGATGGTTCATTCATTTATTTATTGAATGACAGAATCGCATTTCTACATAGGAAACCTAACTAGAAAAGTTGAGAATAAAGGTTTCAGTGCAACCTAGGTAAAATAGAATATTAATTGGACCAAATTATTCACCAAATATAAAAAATGAAGGGAAGGGCAAAAGCAGGTACCTCTTAAACATGAAGCTACACTTCCATTGACCATGAAAGGGTATACAAGCAATCTTTCTGTTGGAGTCATGCAAAAACCACGTAAGCGAAGCAAATTTCTATGTACAGCCATGCTGATCATTTCAACTTCTGTTTGGAACTGCAGCTCCCCACCCTGTGTGCGCTCCTCTTTCAATCTTTTCACTGCTACTAGAGTACCATCAGCTAAGCGTCCTTTATAAACCTTTCCAAATCCACCCCTACCTAAAATGTTTTTGTTGCTAAAATAATCTGTTGCAACTTGTAATTCACGCAGCGAAAACCTTTTAAGCTGACCAAGATGGACTTCTGGATCCTCCTCAGCTGTAAACAAATGTTGACAGTGTAAATCAATCTAACAAAAGCAACTTCCTAATTAATCAAAACATCTGCTTCACAAAATCACTAACCAGGTACATCAAAGAAATGATCCTGTGGTTTTCTTCGTCGCCAATAAGCGAGAGCAATAGCAGGGGCAGCAAACAGCAAAGCAGCACCAGCAGCAACTCCCCCCGCAATAGCTCCGGTCGCACTGTTACCTGTTCACATGATATTTTTTAAATATAATACACCAAATTTATGCCATCAGGCAACAGCAAGAATAACAAACCGGTGTCTTTTTACTTGAAAATGCCATCAGTGGATGAAACAATTCACTAAAGTATGCAGGAAGATGTAACTCCAGCAGACAATCCAGAACCTAATCACTACCACAAATCACAAGACCTAGTCTAAATGTCTTCCTAACAAAAACTTGAACTTATTGCTTGTTTGTTTGTGAACAGCGCACAAGCATAATTTATCTTCAAACAATTTTTCTTTTCATTTATTTTTAACTGCGTCTTTCAAATGAAAAGTTTTCATTCGTAGGTTTTCTGTGGTTGCATGTGCAAATGGACTAACTCACTTTTTCATTCTTTTGTTCATTCATCTACTTGTTTGGTTGTGTATGTTACCATATTCCTCTTTACCTCATTTATTCTTCCATTCTAATTCTTGTCATGAGAGGATCTGGCAGGTCGGACAAATTTGGTAGAGAAAGGAATTTATACAACAAAAGCACAGAAGAAATAGTCTGTAGTTTTGTATTAACTCAATAAAGGAATCTAAAAAAGATGATTAAATTCAATACAACCTGACTTCATAAACAGAAAATAAAAAGAACAGTAGAAAAGATGACTAAGAATAGTCCCTAGGATAATATCCTGTGCAGAATAAATCTGCCCCCAAAATCAGAGGTGCCAAAATAACATGACCCGTAACTAATCATCTTCTCATTATATAGCGCTGGGCAGTTATAAATTCTTCTAACTAATTGCTGCCATGTATAATATTCCATTTGTTCCATTAGCTGCATTCAAACACATCCTTTTCTTCCAATAAAAGATTATTCCCCTCCTATGCTGCATATCTATCTATTCCTTCTAGAATATAACACGAATGGTCTTGGGCCTACTCCTTCCCTATCAGTATGTGCCCCTAAAGATGCTTGTTCAAAACTTCAAATTATTGCTGGTAGTTTTGTGAATGTTGTTTTCATCCAAGAAACTATATCTACACATGGGCATGTGTTGGCATCTTAGATGATAAGCACGGAAAAATGTGTTAAGAGGGGTTGGGGGGAGTAGAACCTGGTGTCATCTTCCTATATTTATTGCATTTGCCAGTTGAAGGACCAACAAATTATTTAATGAAAAAGCTTGCTCTTTGCAACCATATAAAGGAAAAATTAAGTTCAATAGATAAGCGCTCTAGTAAATGACCCATCTTCAAGGGCTAGGTAAAAAGGGGAAAGCAATCATAATGATTGTCAATTCAGAGAAAAGTTGAACAAGGAAATAAAATGAGAAGCTAAGCTATGCTAAGAATGAAATGACATCACTAAGCATGCAAAGAGAAATCCAACTGAGTACTAATGTGAAAAACAGCACTGAAATTAACTGCTAATATCACTACTAACCACTTGAAGGAGCAAGCGAAGATGGAGTCAGAGGAGGAGATGGAGAAACTGGAAGAGGTTTGAGTGGATTATTGGCAAAACTGCAAAAGGAATACTGTAGTTAGTAAACATTTATTTGGTCATCTATACCCATGAAATTGATACTGAAAACATAACTATTGCAATAAACCTGATGGGAGTAAACAAGGAAAAGGAGCCATTGACTGGAATATCTCCTGTTAGATTGTTATTTGAAAGATCCCTGCATTTAACATGGCAGTAAAAATTCACTCACATAACATATAGTCCAGATCCGTTTTATAGTATTAAACAATAATGCAGATGTTAGAAATAACAAGATCAACATAATACTACTCACAGGACTTGCAATGTTGTAATGGTAGTTAAAGACACAGGAATCGTTTCCGACAAGGTGTTGTTGTTGAGACGCCTGTTCCACAGAACAGAGATTGTCATTTTTAAGATATTTATGATGCTGCATATCATTAATCATAAATCACAATGCTTCAGAGTTCCAGATGGGCCTAGCCATTATTAATAGCAAACTATATCGACAGATGCCTGCGTATCAATAAACTCTGTATTTAATATGTTTTGGAGAACTCTATCTAACTTTATCAAAAAAAATGACAGAAATTGAACATTGCAATCTAGTAAGACATTATTTCCCATTTCTTCTCTTTTTTTGTCAGATTAGGATATAGATAAACTTTTCTCTTCTTTCTGTAAATTTCACATTGTTTAAGAAACACATTGCTAAACATTGGTAGAGAACTATTGGAATATAAACCTTCTCAATAGACAGAAAAATATACAAAAACACAGTGATTAGCATAAAACCCAGACAATTTACTAATAACAGACAAAAAATAGAAAAAGAAAGATGCATTTTCATACAGGAAGCGGAGTCTTTGAAGCCTGCCCAGCGTCGGTGGAATTCGACCAGTTAACCTGTTCAAGTAAAGATCCAAGCTCACCAAGTTTGTCAAATTCCCAAGCTCGTCTGGAACTTTTCCACTTATGTTATTACTATAAAGTTCCCTGTACAAGAACTAGATTTAGTAATCCTATCGCAAAGCTAAAAAAAGGAAATATAGAACTATTCTAATTTCCTATTCAACATTAAAAATTCATGTGTATAAATATAAATGAACAACGTTTGAATCAAATAAGTACTCATAGGCTTAGTTTACCAGCAACTGCATACAGAACCCGTGCTACGTCCCCTCCCACAGAAAAAATATATTGTGCCAAATAATTTACACATGACAATCTGGGTGCATTCAAGAGCAGAGGGAAGAGCGCACACGCGAGAGAGAGAGAGAGAGAGAGAGAGAGTCCATGCTCTTGGATGCAGAAGCACACATTTACAACTGCCTGTGCATGCGCTTACATGGATACGGAGTCTATGATAAAGCAGTTACCAGTCACCTTTTATGCATCAATTGTTCGACGTACAAAACCATACCATTTAAGTTTATTCAAACACATTAATTCAGGCTATACTGAACAAAAGTACTTGTGGGCAACATGACAAATACTTTTGATTTCAACAAAAGATAGCATGTACAACCAAGAAATACTGGTCATCCACACAACTTTTCTTGTGTTGCAAGCTCTGGGAAGCGTCAATTATGTAGCCTCCCCCTTGTAACAAAGCAAGGCTTTTTCTATGGTTTGAACCTATGACCTCGACCTATTCTTGATGGAAGCATAAACATGATTCATTATTGGAAAAGAGTGATTGTCATTACCTCAAACGAATTTGACATGCTCAAATCATAGCCACAGTCCTCTTTAGCTTTTAACAACAGTATTTAGGTAAGATCTTAATGGAAAGAATCTATGCAGATTGGATGGATGGATTTTAATGTCAAAATGTGAAGCAGAGATTACTCGTTTCCCATGCCTAATATCTTGGGATGTAGGGCAATGATGGCAATCAAGTGAACCAGGTAATGCAATGCTTGATGATGATGCTGTTTAATCATCTGCATTAGAAAAGAAAATGTGATACAAGGGGAACTCAGTGGCTTGGCATGTAGCCCGGTTATGTTTGATATATTTTATAAGGATGATATGAAGGGAAGGAGGCAGATTCGTGGAGAATCATCTATTCATAATAGTAAGATGACTTTGAAATAGATTTTTCTTGGCGAGCAAAGCCAGAAAGATCATGAATCCGTCTCTCCATTTTTGGAGCATTTTTATGCATTGCCTACCAGGCAATTAGTTTCTTTCTTTTATCTTTCTGCAAGCCAGTCATTCTATTTCCTATATCTTTCTGTAATTATTTTCATAATGTTGCAGTTGATGCACCATTCTTTGCATGTGTATGTCTGTGTGTGTTGGAGATAAAGTAATGAAAACAATGTGTCTAATTTCAGAAGATCCCAGTTAAAAGTTCTAAATTATTTTATAGGTTCAATACTCCATTCATAAAAAAAGATGAAACCCCATTTGCAGTTATGAAGGCACTAAGGCTCTGCCCCCAAGGCATGCAAAGCCACTATAATCGGATATCACGCCACGAACCTCGGAGAATGCCTAAATTGCTTCGGCCAACAGGTAATTCCACCCATGATCAATGCACTATGCACTAGATTCTATTATGTTCATATTGAGTTTGCTACAATTGTTCTAATCAAATTCAATCAAACTGATTTTAAGCAATCATACAACTAGAATGCAAATGTAGCACACTGAACCATTCTTTTAAGCTTAAATTAGATAATTTGGGACCAAAAGGTATATTTCATCTAAATGTCTCTCTCCTTGTCGCCCAACTTTCTATGTCCTAATCATCTAAATTAGACTATATGATGCCCCCAAATGATATGATTTTAAGTTTTTAAAAAAAATAGTGTACTTTGCAATTTTAACATTATCAAAACTGAAAGTAAAGTGAACTAAGTGTAGTTTTTGTACCATATAGAATAGGGGGTAACTCAATACACGAAGCATCCAACATTTATAGAATCTAGTTCATAATTTAATGACCATGCATATCCAAAGAAATTTTGTACCTCAATAGAATCTAGTTCATATTTACTGACCATATAATACCCAAAACATAACCATGAAAAGCCGTAATAATAGTGAGGAGGTCAAGGGATTCAGAAACTTAAGGCAATTTCTACAATAGTACACAGATTAATACATAAGAACCAACTCATCTTTCAACATATTTAATCATTTAACTATAAATACATAATCTCCAAATACTCATCAAGGAAATATGGAAGTTTATATCACTCAATCAGTGGAAAGTACTTGTCCAGAGAGTTGCATGTGAATGAACCATATTTCTATGTGATCTATTTACCATTAAAAAAATTCATTCCACATTGAATAGAGTCAAACAAAATAAGTGGGAACAAACTAAGAAGAATATTCATATTTTGATATCATCATTAGCAGTGAACAAAGCAATCTATTCAGTGAGTAGTCTTCAATCATGATTAACACAAGTTGCAAAGCCCCTATTTTTTAAAGCGAGTACTGTTGAACTTTGTTATTCTATTCTAATTCTAATCTAGTTTTAATAAAGGGGCGTTCCTTTCATTTTTTCAAAAATATGAGTTTTGACATGTTTACCTGTAAATTTTTTTTTTTAAAAAAAAAAAAAAAGCATTAAACTTATCAAACGAACTTCTCATAGATGTAATCGAGATTCAACTCAAAGCATTGACCCATAAGCAACTATTAAGAAAGCAAAAAACTTCAACATGCATACAGTACTACTTACAAGTACTGCAAATTTGTAAGCTGACCAAGCTGTGGAACCAGTTGACCTGATAGATTTGCATTTCCAAGGTCACTTAAAAAAAAAAAAACAGAGAGAGAGAGAGAGAGAGAGAGGCATATCAGTACCATAGTCAAGTAAAATTCAGAAGAAAACTATGCATAATGACAGGAATGGAAACTGCTAAAGAATATACAAACTTACACTCGGGTGACACTATTTTCACTATTGCAAGTAACGTGAAACCAAGTGCAGGGATTAACAAGGGTAGGATCCCAACTCTGTAGGACATTGTTAGGATCCGCCAAATTGGTCTTCAATGCATTCAAAGCGTCGCCTGTCTTACGCAAACAAAAACAAATCATATAGAGGTAAATACATACATAAAATAATTCAAACATCCATTACTTATGCTCTAGTGGGTTACTGTGGATAATTTTTAACTACGAACTTATAGTTCATCTCAAGGAGAAGGCATAAGTTAGCCGGAATTTTCACCAAAATCTAAAATATCACGAACAAAATACTAACTTGAATCGCATAGCAGATTATTATACCATTATAAAACGATCAACCCACACAAAGTCCACGAAAATTCAGAAGCTAAAGAAAAAATAAAATCAAGGATTCTCAACGAATTTCAAGTTTGCTTTACATTTCCTAATGTAATATTGGCAACCTAATAGAAGATTGCTGTAACAGCCAATCCCACTAAACGAAATAAGAATTAGACCCTTGAATTCAAAAGGTCAACAGAACCAAATCCCAAGAAACCCATATCCAAAATCTAAGAAAACTTTAACTAAACGAAAAATTGTACGCAAAGAATAACAAAGAACAACAAAATCAAAACATACCTTCAGCATTACTTGCAACTTTGAAAACGAAATAAAACAGAAAAATCAACCAAAATAAGGCCAAGCGCCAGATCGCCCACATCTTTTGCTCGATTACGCACCAAAATTTCTCATACTGGTTTCAAAGCAGACGCTCAAAATATCAAGAAGAACAGAATCCCAACTTCAGAGTCCCTTGACTTGTATCAAAAACTAACGTTGACCCAGAAAATAACCAAAAAGGGTAAAATCCAAATATAAAATGTTAATATTTTGCTGGGTTCTGGTTGGTGTAAATGGGGAAATTTAAGGAGAAGGATCTATCAATCAATACAAGCTATGTTTGGAGAGACTTTTGGTAGTTAATAGGGGCAAGTTCTTGGTGTTTGGGGCTTAAGATTTGATGGACTCAGTAGTACTGGTAGTAGAAGGAAGGGAGAGGGCGCTTAGTCAATGGGAGAATCCTTGCACCATTTAGTAATGTAATTGTAATATAATAGCGACAAAGTAGAAATTTCTTTCTACATTTGCAATTTTTTTTCTTTTTTTCTTTTTTTCTTTTTTTTTTTTTTTTTTTTTTTTTTTCAAATTTTAATTATATAACTCTTTTATTTTATATCTATTACACTATTTAATATTTATATTAAATTCATAATTAATAGTTTCAAAAAGAGAATGTCAACATTTACTATTTAATCAGTCTTTTCATTAATGTAAAAAAAAAAATGGGAGGTCTTAAATTAGAGCTCTCTTAATTCTGTGAGTTCTCACTAATTTTGTGAATTAGGGAAAGGGTTATCAAAAAAAAAATTCAAGTAATGTATTTATCGTATTAAATGCATAGAGTTTTTAAATGAAATTAATCCCCCGCTTAATTAATTTTATTATATGTTAATCAAATATGGTACTTTTAGTCTTATCACATTGGAACAATATATAATGAGTGAGAGTCGAAATTTTCTCCATCACAGTTCGGTGAATATCATTTAAAAAAGAGAACGATCTCAATTATTTAACCGGTTGATTTGACATCTTATGAATTGAAAAAAATAAAAATGTTATATTTTCCCAAGCAAGAATCCAAAAAGATAAAATATTTACCATTCTCACGTATAATCAAAGCCTGAAATTTCAAATTGAATCTTTTTTTGCTTTTATTGATAGACTAGCTAGGATGAAATAATAGTATTATTTAATTAGGAGAAAGGAAAATCTAAATTTTATTAGGAAAAAAGAAAATGAGAGCTTTAAATAATAATACTTTTTTAGCAAAGTCACGTCATAATAGCCGGGTCAAATACGCACGCTCAACAATTGACCCCGCGACCCGCCCGCCTTTTATCTATCAATTAACAATACATACAGATATGGTATATTGAGATTGGCGAGTATACTTATAGAATAGTCAACTAATCTCCACTCATCTACTATTGTAATTTTTTTTTTTTTCCCGTTGGTGTCCAAAACTCATTGGTTCAGTTAATACGATTTGCGTTTGGCAGACCCATAGAAAGAGACAAAGCGTATGAAGAGGTAAAACACTCACTCTCAAGTCTTTAAAGAAATTCCATAAAACTTCATATTCATGATTTAAATTCGAGACCTTTAGTTAAAAGTAGATGGATTGTTGCTATTATATCTCATCATGGTTCCAGAATTGTCAATTTCAATTAACAAAAAGGTGGAACCGAAATCAAATTATTTTTAGGCAATTTTAAGATGGTTTTGAAACCGTCAGTTTCAGTTTTGGATAGAAATTAAATAATATATTTTAAAATTTTTAAAATGTTATTTTTTGATTTGTAACTTGAATAAATAATAATAATAAATATTATTATTGAAACTAAATCAATTTAATAACAATTCTTAAAAGTTATTTTAAAATATTACAAAAAAACAAAAAATAAGTTGAGAATTTCTTTAAGAACATATTTTTCATAGTTTCAAACTGTAACCGCTAGTTTTAAATCAATACTGTAGGATTCAGTTTCAAAAAATGAAAAACTGAAATCAAATCGTGTCATCCCTAATCTCATCCCTCAAAGGTTATCTGTAATACCCCAATCCTGTAAGATATTGTCTACTTTTAATCAAGCCCAACCCCAACTCCCTCACAGCTTGCATTTGGATTCAAAAAGACCTCTTACAAGTCTAAGGTGTGTTAACACTTATATATCCACATGTGAAAATTGCCTTGTAACACTCTAATCCTGCAAGTTATTATCCATTTTGGATACAGCCCAATTCCACTTCATCCACACAATGCTATTTCTAAAAATGACAATCCATCATATTCAAAAGGCCTCTTACAAGTCTAAATTGTGTTAATACTTATATATCCACCTATTCTTTTACACTTATCTAATGTGGGATCGCCTAAGGATAATCTAACATCTCAAGTTAGCACATGGTGTGGATGTTACATCATCTCCTATTCTAACTTTAGTGATTAATAATCAGTAAAGGCGAAAACACGACTTATTATTTATCTGAGTTAACATTAGTACATTTTATGATTCCTAAATTTTAATTTGTGAGATAAAAATTAACCAATATCAATTTATATAACAATAATATATATTTTTAAAAGATTTATTAGAAAATTAAGGTGAATGCATATTAAGCATAATACTATTTTTTATCCTCGTCAGTCATGTTTGTTTCTCTCTTTTGCATTATCTGTATAATTAATGAAAAGTGAGAGAAAGTTATTCTTCTAAAAAACATAAATAGATGAATAAAGAGAAGATGTAACATCATTGTCCAATTCATCATTGTCTATTATTCCTATTATGTCCAATCCATCATCGTCTATTATTCATAAATGAATAATGTAAATTAGGAATTAAAACACAATTATCCCTATATAAGATAACTTAGTAATTTCAAGTGAAAGGATCATTTAAACAACCATCACTTGAATATTCATAAACATAAGTAACTCTCCATATGGAATTCTCAGATAAATGAATTCAGTGGACTTTTTAAATAATAAGCACCTATTAATTCTAGATATGACATATATCTCAGCTTATGGGAACAACTGCTTCCCTTCACAAAGGAAAGAAAATAATATGAATCAAACTCAATAGCTCTAATCATCATCCAATAAATAAGGAGAATATTGACTAGTAATATTTAAAGGCATTGCGTTAATGCAAAAAAAAAAAAAAAAAAACTTACCGAGATTTATTTTAATGAATAAAATAAATAATGTGTCTTTTAATAATAATGAAATACTTGATTGTTGACGCGGAACCCTATGCGATAATAATTCCATGAACTCTATGACAGTTTCTGGAAGAGATCGCAAGATCAACTAAACCATCCTCTATGGCACCCAAAAGCTAAAGAAGCAAGAACACCATTGAGTAAAGGATGATTTAACAAAGATTGATAAGTTTACCTTGATTCTTGAGATTAGTAAGAATGCAATTCACAGTCATCTCCAAAGCAGGACACGCCTAAGCTGAAGTGGAAAATCTATTTTATTGGATAAATTGATTGATAATGTGCTCAATTAAATTACAAAAACAAAGCTATTTTATAATCTAAGCGGTCCAGTTCCTTAAGGATTTATGAGTTGCTAAGCGTCTAGGATTTAGCAATCTAAACCAACTAAGGATTGACTAAACGTCAAATCATTAAAAATCTACTAAAGATTAGCTAAATCTAAACAAATCTAGGATAAGGATTAACTAATCCAAATCAACTAAAGATTAGCTAAAATCTAAACAAATCTTGTGCTGTTATCCATCTCTTTTCGAGTCTTCTTTCTAGAATTTGTGCTTCCTTTTTTATTGTTAAGATTTATTCCTTATTTCTAAACGTGCTTTTGAGTTGGTTGGTTGACTTAAGATTCTGAATTTCAATTAGAAGAATTGCAATGAGTGATTAAAGAGTGTAAACACGTGAGGGAGTGATTTACCATTAACTCAATTCTTCTTGTGTTTTTCTCTTTTGAATACTAACCAACAACTTGAAACTCAGAAACTACAAGATGGGTAACTTATTACCCAAGTGAGCGTCTAGTTGCCGGCATTGCCATATGTGGATTTCACGTTCATCTCAATGTGGTTCATTAATGGTCGAGAAACTTAGGTGTTCTCATGCTTCTTTGAGATCTATGTTGGTAGGTAGCGATTCCGTATTTCATTCCCCTTTTCTCGAAAGATCTCGTCCTCCGAATTCTTTAATTTAGAATTGAGTTTCCATGCTTTTTGATTTTCCGTGGGTTGCTCCATATTTCTTCCGACTTGCTGTTAATTGATCCACTTAGGAGTAGCCTAGATGGATGTTTTGATGTCTGTTCTCCTTGCTTCCTGAAGTTCCACATGTGAGTGATGGCAGATTTCGTTCTGTTCCCCCTTTCCTCGAAAAGAGTTTTCTCTTCAATCTGCTTCCATGTCAAAAGGAGACATCAACTATATTGAGTATCGAACCCATACTCACTGGTACTAGCCTATTTGTAGTTTGGTCTTAACGTGCTCCGACGACTTGGAATGGCCATTCCACGTTCATCAAGCTTATCTTTTCTTGGTGGAAACTTTTCTTGCGAATATACCCAAACCCGATCTCATAGGTTTAACACATTCTGCCTTCTTCTCTGTTGGCACGGTTGGCTAGCTTTGTTATGTTCATATAACCCTAGCCTTTAGCGTGTTCCTTCACCACTGTAGGTTCTTCTTCCATTTAGGGAATCCCTGTGCAACAAGCAACGTAAGAGGGTAGAGAGTGTAAATGTTAATTCAATACGCAAAATCCTTAACAACGGATCATTAGCGTCACTTTCACAACTGTTTTGGTCTCTCTCTTTTTCAATGACAATTTGTTTTCTACTTTTTCACTCACATTTTGGGCCATTGCATTTGTTTGTATCTTTTGTGGCCTCTTTCTCTTCTTTTGTTCCTTCACTTTTCTTTTCACATTCTAGTTCTCTTGACCGAGCTTCACTCCCATCTTCTCTCAAAGTTTTGAGGTCACTTTCCAGGTTAGTTCTTTTGTCCTATATACTTTGATTCTTATAAGTCAACAACACACTTGGCAAGATGATTAGGTCATTGATGGTCTACAAATTTCTTCTTGCACACGGTACAACACTTATAGGTTGATTTTGTTTCTATCCTTTTCTTCTCCCTCTTCTTTTTTAATTTCACTTAGTCGGTATGTTTTACTCATTTTCTTTAACACTTCTTTTTCTTTTGACAGCTTCAAATGCATTCTTTTGCTTTTACCTGGCGTTTTCTATACTTCTTTTGAGGAACAATTTCCATATGTGAGCTTGTCAAGAAGATATGCTCTTTAATCACTCTCTTAGTTCTTATTGCTTGGATTGATTGTTAAAAGACTTATATGAGACTGATTCCTGACTTTGCAACATTATGTAGCTGTGAGCATGGTAGCATTTGATAAGTTCTATAGACCATGATGGATATTTGTTTAAGCAGCACCTTTGTGTGCCTAAAATTTCATAT